CCGTCCACTAATGTAAATGTAAACAAAGGGAATGATCGCTACAGCGGTGGTGGAGTGGCTGAGTCAGAGGTGCTCCAATCCCGTGTATCGAGGTGAAGGCTGCAGTCTACAATGTGAAGGCATGTGTCATTGTGGTATCCATCACTAGTCATGATGCCTTCAGTACTTAATTTAACAAGCTGGTAAATTAAAACTCCAACCTAATGTTAACAGTTTTCATCACTCTTTCTAGAGTTTTTTGTTCTCTGTCTTGCCCCGAAATGGGTCACTTTCGGGAATATTAATGAAATATTCCATTTAGAGACCTAACAATGTTCCACAGACTTTTTAATGGCCAAATTTGTAATAGATTGATCCAGAATCCCCTTCTTCGCAGGCAATACAAACATACAACCGGCTCACAGTGCCAAAAGAGTTTCCCAACAGTACAATCGTCAGATTTCGTAAGCACTATGCAGATCCGGGCTTCCGCCCACTTCGCACTGGGGGGTCTCCCTCTTTCTCTGCACAATTAATCGCAGTCATTTGTGAATCGATTGTGAAGCGGTTGTGAAGCGGTTGCGCAGAGGTGATGGAACCGCGACAATACTTGCGGTTCCCAGAGGATAAATCCGAGCGACAGTTATTGCCTGCTCAATATGCAAACCCATCACGTCAGGTGTTGCCCAGGCTTTGTGAGCTTTGACTCCTGGTTCCTGCGATTGCTAGTAAATCATACTGAAAGGGAAAACTCATTTACAAAGACATGTTTACCGTAAACCAGAGCCGCATCAACGTGAATTGGAACGAACAAGAAATATTGCATATGCTGTGAAAACTCAATGGTTCTGTGAAGATGAGTGTTCTGAAGAGATTGTGGTGGATGTACATGAAAGAATATTTGATCTGGAAAATTAGCTTAGTAGGAAGGTGTGGGCTTAATAGGTCAATCAAATTTATACTTAAAAGAAGTTGATAACCTTTATGGTCTTTGTTTAAATCCTTTCTTTAACTACTTGGTAGAAATTCAAATTAAACTTGAGTAATATTTTCGATACATTTCCATATTATATTTAAGTATAACGAACCTGGGTGGATTAAATTCCCACCTATAGAAGGTATTCAGTAACATCTTAAGAAAAACCAGGGGCTTTTTGTTTCTATTGGACTTTTAATGAAAGTTTTCTGCTAGATGAACCAGCTGTTCCTAGTCAGTACAAAAGCTATCCTCTCATCCTACACTAATCCAGCTTTCATATTTGCCTTAAAATACACACAGAATTTTGTATTTTCCCTCGATTAGTTCTGATGCACCCAAAAACACAATGTGAAGTGGAGGTACAACCGAGAAGTGACGAGAAGAGCTATGCTAGAGATGTGCCAAGTGAGGTACTGAGGTATGGTTTCATTGCTGCACGACATGACACGTGTGGTAACGCGGACAAGACCACAGCACTTCCTCGGGTCGCGCGTGGTCGCCGCGGGGCAGAGCACAGAGCACCATTGTCGTCCCCAGCACGGCGGAGGTTATCATGGACGAGCAACTGTGGAAAAGAGGATAGGTTGTACTAGAAACTGTAGAAAAGAGGAAAGGATGCACTAGTAAGTGTGGAAAGGAGGAAAGGATGCACTAGGAACTGTGGAAAGAGTAGGGGGTGCACTATAAACTGTGAGAAAGAGGAAAGGATGTACAGAGAAGAAACCATGCAAGTGCATTTGGAAACCGAGCAAGTGATAATGGATGTGGATTGAAAAAATGAGGATAAATGGTATAGTGATGATATAAAGATAGAAGCTATAAGATATAGTAGGCTAAATGTAGGTGAATTTGGGTACCAAACTCATCATCAAGAATCATCATGCATGTGGTACTTTGAAATCACTATGAGAAGGCGTTGATTTAGAGTGTGAATCTGTTTATTAAAGGATGCCTTGTACACAGGGGAAGTGGTGAAGATTTTAATCCTCTATTGAATATAAAAAATCACTGTATATCAGGGGACATAATGTTTATGCGACTCTAAATCCTATTAGTGTAGGATAATCAGGAAACAGTTGCATCAGTGGTTACCATAGATGTATATAACCTATATACATCGATGGTGGTTACCAACATTATCACCATTGAAGAAAGAATAAAAATTGGAACAGGGAACTTACATTGTATTGAAACTATGTTTGCCTATTGTGTAAGAAAATGAGGAACTGTAAAAACTCACTACAAAGAGGGAACGTTGGAAGTAACGTTTAATTTACATTTTAAAATTGCTTGAAAGATCTTATAACTTAATTTTTATGGGTGACAGGGCATTGATGGTCATCAATACTTGAGGATATCACGAGAGACAGTAATAAATAAGTAAACGATAAGACCTGAAAGGGATTGATGAAAAACTGTGCGATTGGGGTAAAGGCAACTTTTGTTGGATATTTGCAAACATGTAATGTAATGTAGGATTTTGGGGGTTGGATGCATAAGAGGAAATGATAGCCAATGGAAACCTCTGTAAAAGACCTTTGATCGCTAGTTTTACGGTATTGATAAGTGTTCGGAATTGGTTACAGGTGTATGAAAACACATTTACATAGAAACACTTGAATATTGGTAGAGCCAAAAGAGTTCTAATTAAAGTTTGCAATGTATGGTTATAAACAATGGTTAAATGTTATCAAACTAGGATCTTTCTGTCACTACTACTGGTATTGTTGTTTACCTTCATCCACTCCGCGTCATCATCACCGTGCAGACATAGATCAACACAAGACACCTGCACTTCGCCCACGCGCTGCAGCATTCATAAATACATCAAAAGATAAATAACCGCAATGGAGGCAAACGTTCATAAATTATCCTTGCTAATTGATTATCTGCCGGTGACATGGTGATAATTACCCGCCATGTTCCCGTCTTTCCCGCGGTTTTTGTCACAATCCCCACAGCTGATCTGATCAATATGCACAGTCATACCCTACGCTAGCCGCGGACGACTTTTTCCACCTGAGCTTTTTTCCGATCTACAATTCCTATAATGGCGGTCGCTGTGATGAGTTAAATCTAGGATTTTTTCTCCCCAATTACGGCTTCAATGACTCGCCGCCCTCTTCCCCGTTCCCAGCTTTGTGTGTATGTGTGTTTTTTTTTCAGAAGAAACAAAGTATACAATGTTTGTCCAACTTTATACATTATCTGAACACCAAAGATCTACCAAAAGGCCATTACAGTGTATTTATCAAATGCTTCTATGTACAATCTTACTATTCAAGGACACTTAAGAAAATATATTTGTTGGGAATTAAAATACTGATGAGGAGGGGTCGCAGTTAGGATGGATTTTATTATCTAAAACCACCTAAATTTTACAACCGGACTGCAGAAAGTATAACGACGGAAATCCATATATTTAATTGGCCAACATGAATTTTGTGATAGTTGTTTTGAAGCTGCATCACCAAGTTTAAAGTGTCATTGGAAAGGTCGTAGCACGTAGATTTGCCATGAAACATTTTCGAAACTCCATCAGGGCCTTCACTGGCCCTCAAAGCTCCCACGTTATTATTATGGAGAAAATAAATGTTTACATTTGAACATATGAATACTTTGAAATTGACACTAACCTAATATTTTAAACAGAAAATTGTTATACTACAATTGAACCCAATCGTAACATGTGCTGTAAGGATATTATTAGAGTTGAAAAGATAAATATTTACTCTATTTTTATGGTTCAAAAATAGGTCTTTCCCTGCACGACACTTATGGTTAAATGAATTTAAATGTTAAGATGCAGTAGTTATACTTGTGTAATCAAGATCTTTGTTTTTAACAGGATATCGTTTGATGAGAGGAAGATATCAATGTCAAGGCAGGTAACAATAATTTTTTCATAGAGTTCTATCCATTGTAAGGGATAGCGACTACATTAAGTTATAATGTGTCTTTGATTCCCAAATACCTCCAAGAATAGTGCTGAACATTTTCAAATCAGGGAGAGTCAAAATTAAACAAAATTTAAAAAATCACAACATTGTTAATATGCCTGCAAAACGATTCTTTGGTACACCTGTCAATAAAAATTTAAGTTATTTATCAAGTTTCAAACGGTATTTGTAAAATGTGACTTCGGGAGGTGAAACAGAAAAACACGGACGAAACAAGGATGGGAACGTTTAGCAACATCGATGACGCAAGAGTCGTCGACAATTTAATTGCGTTTGCATGTTTCAAGGAGTGGTTAGCTTAGGTTTTTGCGAATCCAGGGACGAGGTAAGAATGGAGAAATTAATCATTATACTGGGGCGATCCTCGATAAGACGTTCTAATGAGATCAAGATCCATTCTTGCCTTTCTCGGCGAGTGAAGGTCCTCTTGGCTGGGAGGACGTGTTAGTTTGTGGTCTCTATCAGTGTTGGACGGTGGAAGCCGAGGAGGTGAATCATTGAGTCATATGGTGGTGATATATAAAAGACGGTTCGAAAAATAATACTACATTAAAACGAAGGTGTGTAAACTGGAACAATGTTTTCCATACAACATTTGTTTGCTTACAATCATGTTATCTTTTAATTATGTTGGTACTTCCAAGTCTGATGTGTGCTCGTAGCTCTTCTGAAACTCCTCTCCAAACTATTCTGAATAAATACAACATAAAAAAGAACCATAAGAAAATGAAGGAGTACTGTTGGAAATTGAGTTATTTTTATATAGTACAAATTCAATATTAATCAACATAAAATATAATAATTTGTTAGTCTTTGTTTTTATGAACAGATGGTTTATTTTAATTTATTTTAAACAATTGAGAAGAGTTGTGTTAAGAGTTTAAGAAAGTGGTCAAGAACATAACAATACAAAGAAATGTTATAAAATACTTGTTATTTATCAGAATTAAATCAGTTCTTCATTAGATAATATTTTGTAAAAGTTCTTTATTTTACACGAGTTCTAACATAGTGGCGACCGTGACAGGACATTTTTATAGTTAAAATTCAGATTTAGGACTAAGCTTATATTTTACTTTACAATGGATAAGCTGAAGTCATTAAAGACAAAAAGGACTCAACTAAGAAGGACTTTTACAAAGTGTAGTAATGAAATTGATAAATTACTGGCAGAGGATATTAAAGATGAAGCAGCAATTAAAAGTAATCTAAGCAAGTTGCAAGATAAAGCTGATAGGCTTTTTAAGCTAGATGAAGACATCGAGGAAGCCTTGTTTGAAGATCCTGCAACAACGGAAGAGGACTTAGAAGCTGAGTTTGATACTACAGAATCTTACAGAGACATGTTATCTTCAATGAGAGCTAAGTATGACCATTTCATTATTCAGGTTGGCCTAAGCCAACAGTCAAGAAGTGAAGTCGGGGATACCGTCCACAGTCTTAAATTAGTATCTAAGAAGGGGTTAAGTCTACCTAAATTACAATTAAACCAGTTTGATGGAGATGTAAAAAATTGGATAGGGTTTTGGGGGCAGTTTAAGAAGGTCCATGAGGATCCTGATCTAGAACCTGAGGATAAGTTCCAATACCTCATCCAATCTTTAAAGCCAGGATCATCCCCTAGGGAATTAGTAGAAAGTTTTCCCCCATCTGGAACTAATTATGCAAAGGCCCTAGAGCAATTAAAAGCAAGATTTGGTAGGGATGACTTTTTAATAGAAGTATATGTGAGGGAACTGCTCAGTTTAGTGCTCCAACAAGTAACACTAAGTCCTAATACCAAACTGTGCCGACTGTATGACAAACTAGAAACACAGTTAAGGGCACTTGAAACTTTAGGAGTCACTTCAGACAAGTTTGCTTCAATGCTGTATCCTCTTGTAGAATCTGCTTTGCCCGAAGAAATATTACGAGCCTGGGAGCGGCATCATTCAGGTAGGTTACTACACATACCCTCAACTTCTACATCGTCAGATCTAGTAATTTCTAGTAATTTTCTAGAAGAACTTCTTGATTTTCTAAAGGCTGAAGTGGAGAGTGAAGAGAGGCTGGCGCTTGCTCGTTCGAGTTTTAAATCTGCCACTCCAGGAGACAATCATGGAAAATGCAGCAGCCCCAGTAAAATGTCAACGGTACACGAACCTCGTCAGAGTCAACCTGATCAACCTGTAGCAGCTCTATTGACAACTGGTACAGAGGGTCCTAGAAGGTTGGTGAGTAGCTGCACTTATTGTTCTAAAGGAGGGCACAATGCTCAAGATTGTTCCTATTTTCAAAAATTAACTTTAGATGGAAGAAAGGAGCATCTGAAAAAGAAAAATTGCTGCTTTGTGTGCTTGAAGCAAGGTCACACAGCAAAAAAGTGCAAGGTGTTTGTTAAATGTCTCTTCTGTGGTAAAAGGCATTATGGGGGGGACGCGGAAAGGTCGCCCCCGGAAACATCACCCCCCTACGTCATATTGACGTCAGAGACCGGGGGGTGATGTTTCCGGCCGCGGACACTCAATTTCAGCTGCAGCATGCACTCGTCGATATGACGAGTTATTTTTTAGTTTGCGTATTAATTAGATAATTATATTCACTTATCATATACAATTACCAGATTTTCTAATTAGAATTTATGTTAACCGGATACGTTAACCCCGATCGTTTTCAAAATGCACACCCCGGAAAGGTCCCCCCCTGTCATGATCACCCCCGGTATACCTGCTGTAGGGCTTGGGCTCGTGACTCGAGCCAGCTATTGTTCACAAGGGTAGAGACTGTCCCATATTACCACCGCTCGACTGAACTCGCAAGAATGGGAAGGATTTGGTATTATTACGCAAACGTTGTGGATATTAAGATAAATACAAATTAACACTTTGATATTGTGCTTTCTCTAGACATTTCCCCTTAATTTGATACATCAAATGATGTATTTGACATCAAATGATGTATTTGACATCAAATGATGTATTTGACATCAAATGATGTATTTGACATCAAATGATGTATTTGACATCAAATGATGTATAAATTACATATAGTTTTTGACGTATAAAATGTATTTGAAACACGTGGAAATGAAATAAAATGTTTATAGTAATAGTGACAATTAAGTAAGGAATCAACTCGTATTAATATGAGCATGCTTCAACCACTCAACATCATAATACAGTCAGTACACACTTGACAAACATATTTTCACATTTCCTAATTCTTAAATTGTAAACATTGAGCAATAAATGCTGTATATAATTTTTATACATTTAAATAATTCTCTGGATTTTATGGTAAAAATAAATGCATTGAGAATATTCCTGATTTGATATTGGTGAAGGACTCTTTCCCGTAAAAAAGAATTTAGAAAGTAAATATTGGTTAGTTTCTTCGGCAATAAACAGGAAAAAGCTCACACTGTTTACGTTTGCGTTGACAGAGAAGCAAGCAACAGTGTCACATTCACTTTATTTCATGATTTCACACTGCTGATATTAAATAACTAAATTGAAATTGAAGTATTACAGTTATTCCATAAACGGTCGCCCATTGTTTTGAAAGTTACACATTTATATCTACCTGTAGTTCGCAGAATATTAATACGTATAACTTAAAAGTTTGCAAGAGAACATAATCCTAAGTATAGTATCCACTATTCTCAGAGTATTGATTTATGGAATTCGTCTGTAATTTGCAGACTATTAATTCGTAGAGTACAACTGTATTTATAGCGGGAAGTATTTTTTGTAAAATAGCTTAGACTTCCCCACTTCAGGCATCCCTCCCAAGAATACCTTAGCCAAATACGTTTGTTTAACATAGTCAAGGAAAAGTTTAGTTAGTTGTTTACTAAAGTCAGTTTCATCTTTTTACCATAATTCGTACATTAACATAATTCATAATTATCAGTGTTATCTAGCCTATGTACTTAATTAATTTGGAAGGGGTTAATTTGTGAACAGAACGCCTCATTGAGTTTTAAACAGATTTTGAAAATGATAATGTAATTTGTAAAAAGTATACTCTGAAGTTGCACTAACAATAAAATCAGCTCAAAATATAGTAGGGGATTTTCCCCAGTGTTTTCTAGAGACCTGCTACACCGGTTCACATTTTTATAACCCTCGAAATTTTGGTATATCGATATAGACTACACACATTCTACAAACATGACATAGCTTTCATGGCATAAACTTATAGGCCTACTTACACAGATTTGATTTCAGACAAATCTTGATTTTACCCAAGGGTAGAAGTATTAGAGATGTATAGTTCAAATCAAATCTACAGATTTCCTGAATACGAAGATCCGTTACGGTAGGAAAAAACAACATTTAAAATTGAAACAGTATGCGGGCAAACACTGACAATCAATATTTAAGTAAACTACTTGTAACATAAAAACGTCAATGACAGTTTGAAACCAGCTGTTAGTTAAAACAGCACTGAAACGACTTTAAAAATTATTAGCGTCGGCTGCTAGACTAAAAAAATTAAACTTAAAAAAAATGAAATCATGGCATTGACATTCCCTTCCTTAGAAAATTATATTTATTTCAACACAAAAATCACGAAATCGCGAAAGTGGTTGATTCAGAATCCTGAAATGAAAAAAAAACTCTGTCACGTTTAAAAATATAATATATCACAATTAATTGCACACTCTAGTGGAAATCGATGAAACCCACCCATATGAATTCTTGCTTATCCGTTTACTTTTCCACTCTTTGCGTTTTTGTACATGCCAAGTCAAGTCTTAAAACATTACATTTAAAACAATTGTATTAAATCTTCCACAAATTACAAGAAACAGTGACTCATCCATTTTCCCCGATTCCGAATATTTGTGCGCAATCTTGGCGACTTATGTTCAATCTCCAGCATTTTGGAGGTGTTCGCAATTCAGACACACCCGTTCCCATAGTCCGATTATGCTGGTTCACGAACTCGTTCTAATAAACTTAGGCTTACACGTTTGTAACAAATCTCATCAAACTCGCAGCGTTGTTGCCCGAGTTACCGCGCTCACGGTCACATATACAGGGTGTATTTATAAAGTCCCGCATGGGCTTAATATTTTCAAAACGGCAATAGATAAATCAATAAGATTTGGTACATAAACACCACACCTAAAAACAACGTTTTAAAGACTGTCAGTTTTCTGTCATATAATGGAGACATCCCGCAAGGAGTCAGAAGGAAATCTTAAATAAGAGCATAGGTTGATATTTACAGATAACCGTAGGCATATTCTACAACTTAGTAAAACGTTATTTTTTGTATTAAAGCCATTTTTCATTTAGGACACAAATGATTTTTCTTTTTGCTTTCTTTATTTGTTGTGCTTAAAAAATCTGTAAATAAATACCTAGGTGGCGTCCCCATATCAATTGATATTGATATTGATATATATTGAACTAATTTTATTTAAATAGGGAATAAATGTGATATTTTTACAGAGACTTTTTAGCGTAAATCCAATCAGGCAAGTGGAAATTCGCTTAGTCTGCAGGTTTGCTGTGTCGGGGGTATTTTTAATTATAATTGGCACTTTGTGATACATTAATTGAAGTATATACGAATGTTACTATCGTTTAAGCGATGTAATACAAGTTTACAGCTCAACATTTCAAATTTTGATTACATATTAAAAATTTGAACTCACGTATATTTTCCCCTTAGTAATTATGAAACATAATTTTGCAAACTTCAGTAGCAAAAAGGTTTTCTAAACATATACATCTTATAACAAAACTAATTTATTGGTATATCAACACTGATTGCAAGTCCTCTTCTCGATTTAAAGTGATTCTGATATTTTGATTATACTTTCATTATATTTTGACTCTATTCCAGTGATATGAAACTAGCCTAGGCTGTTTCTGAATTAAGGTACTTTTTGGCATAACCTTTAGAATAGTATCATTTACATATTTGTAATTACTAACAATTAATTATTTCGATAAGTTTAAGGGATTAATCCCCTAAAAGATATCATTATGTTTATTCTTATTTAATAATCTGTTTCTAATTTTCAAATTATTAATTAAATCGGGGCCAAACCTAAAGCAATGCGATTCATTTTTAATACATTTAGAAATGATTATATTTTTAACAAATGTGTTGCTTAACAATTACCATAGGGTGTAAGGTAAGTTTACTGATGTTGATAAGTATAACTACCATTTAATGCAACAGAAAAAATGTATACTTTACGCATTATCGTTGGTTATGAATTAAGTACCGGTATAAAAGAATCATTTTTTAAAGTCAATCTTTGCTCGCATTATTTAGTTGTCTTAGAAGTTTATACACATCTAAATCTACTGATTGATATTCCACCACAGCGTCTGCAATTTTCTTCTGTGGAAAAGCTGTTGTCCAAGCGACAATAATAATGAACGAGCGGCCGACCCTCAGAACAATGGACTGAGGAGGACGGGCAGCAGGTAGGCTGCCGAGCAGCCCAGCTCAGGGGTAGCGTTTCAGGGGGGGACGATTCCGGGGTGTACATAGGGGATGCCTTGCCGGGGAAGACCTTTCCGTTTCTACTTGTTTGAATTAAAATTAATAACATAATTAGTTCATATCAACTAGATTTTGATAAATTACTTGTCAAGCCCTTGGGGGGGAACGATTCCGGTCGCGGACATAGATTTTATACCAGCTGGTTGTCTGGTTTCGTGACGTCACGTTTAGCCTGGGGGGTGATGTTTCCGGGGGCGACCATTCCGGCGACCCATTATGGGATCATGTGTAGGGACTTATATGACAGTAGACCTCGATCTAAAATTGATGTTGACAAACCAGACTTACTGCAGCAGAGTACAACTAAGCCTAAGTCAGAGGTTCTCAGTAATTTTGGAAATGGTACAGGAGAAACTTTATTACAAACTCTATTAGTTAAGGTTGCAGACGAGAAAGGTAAAGAGTATTTGGGAAGAGTACTTTTAGATCCAGGTTCACAGAGGTCCTACATTACTAAGGACTGTCTCACTAAATTGGGTCTAAAAGAAACAGGTAGTGAAGTCATTAATCATAGTTTGTTTGGTGGGGTAAATCTAAAACAAAAATCTCATAAAAATTACCTAGTGACTCTTCAGAATGTAAATAACTCTTTCAAGATCTCTATTCCTGTGACAGATCAAGAAACAATTTGCAACCATGTACCTAGGCTTAAGAGTGAAGAGTATTTCAACATCTTGAAAGAAAAGAACATTATTTTAACTGATGTAGGTGAAAATGTACCAGATGTAAAAATGTTACTTGGTGCAGATGTATTAGTGGATTTGTATACAGGAACTATCCAGAGGATTGACGACAAATTAGTTGCTATTGAAACGTACCTTGGATGGACCGTGATGGGGAAACAACCACGCAGTGGAAGTCGTAATACGTCTCTTCTAACTTTATTTTGCCAGAGTAAACCAGAATTCAGAGATCTAGGGAGCTGGGAGACAATCAGAAGAAGGGCTCCTATTGGGTTGAAACAGAGAGACTCCATTGATGCAGAAGTGTTTCAACTTTTTAAAGAAAATGTAGCGGTGAACGTTGAAAACAGATATGAAGTCAATTTGTCATCAAGCAAAAGACTAAATACTCCTAACAAATTAAGTGACTGTGTTAGAGAAATTGTTTCAGATACAGCAGAGTCGACAACGGTTCATCAATTGCTGCATCGCCCAGTGACAAAAGACAGTAGCTTAACTACAAAAATAAAGCCAGTGTTTGATTGGTCTACAAAGAACAAAAGAGGTAATTCTTTAGACAAATGTTTTGCAAGAGGTTCAAATTTCTTAAATTTAATACCATCCCGTGTAATGAAATTCAGGAAGCCGCTGGATTGGAAAACCATGAAACAGAAATTTGAAATCCATCAAATAACTTGGAAGTTCGATCCTCCGAGTGTCCTATGGTGGGGAGATATGTGGAAACAACATGTGAGAAGGATGAAAACATCATCAAAGAGATCAAGATTTAAGAAAAGGTATCATGCAGTGCTTGTATATATTGAAAAAAAAGGAAGAGGATTCATATTTCTTGACTCTATGAAAATAAATTCAAAAGACATGTCAAGGAAACAGGATGTACACATTGAAACAGAAGATGATTCATCAACTCCTACAGAAATAAGAAGAGGGAGGAAGATAAAAATCCCTAGGAAAATGGACTTGTGAACTTGAAACATGTAAATAGTTTTGTTTGAAATTTTGAAGAGGTAAAGCAAAATTCCAAGGTGGGGAGGATGTTGGAAATTGAGTTATTTTTACATAGTACAAATTCAATATTAATCAACATAAAATATAATAATTTGTTAGTCTTTGTTTTTATGAACAGATGGTTTATATTAATTTATTTTAAACAATTGAGAAGAGTTGTGTTAAGAATTTAAGAAAGTGGTCAAGAACATAACAATACAAAGAAATGTTATAAAATATTTGTTATTTATCAGAATTAAATCAGTTCTTCATTAGCTAATATTTTGTAAAAGTTCTTTATTTTACACGAGTTCTAACAAGTACCTAACTCCTAACACAGATAGGCTAATGTCAATTATCTACATAATGTTTTATGATTAATCGTTCTATTCTGTAGATGTTATTGCTTTTGATATATTTATTCATATAGTTTCACACCTTAAGAAGATAATTTACAAACTAACCTTATGAACATTAAATGTATAACTTCAAAACAGCTATAATATTTCAATTGTTTGGCAAAATGTCCCAACAGGTATCAATTTACTCAAACTGTTCTCTATTTACTTCACCAACACCAGCTCTCAAGTATTTCAATAAAGCCTTTGCAACAATCAAAGCCATCCAATCAAATTACCTCTTGCATAGAATCACATTCCGCCACATAACCGCATCCAGTACCTCAACATACATCACCGAATTAACCCTTCCCGGGTGATATATCTCCGTATTTTCGACTAACGACGAACACCGAGGGATTACGACATATCATCCTCTCGCCGATTTGCTGGCTTTCTCTCAAAATCGGCGGACCGTGGCCATTTCTCACGTGGCCCTACTTAACCTGGACAGGCGTGAATATAAAATTATCCACAAGGGTTATTCATCTCCGGTCATGTCCCTCCACTTAGTTCGCAAACAAACACTTGTAATTAGACACGGTTGATCGCTCCGCTCACACGTGGACGTGGTCATCTTCTATGGGGATCGTAGGTCACCTGTTTGGGCAACAGTGTTAGAGTTGTTTGCAAGGACTATGATCACTTGAATTCCCTACTTTCTTCTTGCCTGAAGTTGTAGCATTAGCGATGGTTTGGATGTTTAAAAAGCTTGTGGAACGAAATGAGACAATTAAGTATACTTTACGCTATGGGAAGTATCCATGACACCCCCAATTTTGTACTTGAGGTTAGACTTTTAGTATGAGGACTGGCCGACGTTACTGGCTACTACAAACACCTTCATTCGCTGTATGCACGTCAGTCCGTATATAGTTGCATGGTATTTAAGAAACAGAATAGGTATCCTGGTTGGCTCTTAATCCTATCTTCGTACTTTTTGGAGGTTTAAGGCCCAGCTACCTCTGGTCATCAGCTTTCAAAAAATGATTTTGGCTAAGGAACCAGCAGATTGTGGTCAGAAAAATACCTACCTTATTATTCATTTCATCTGTCTCACCTTTACTCATCATCGGCCCATTAGAAGCGCACTGGCACACGGGCTGGTACCACCTACTCACCTACACCTGCAACTTGCTGGAAAGAGCTCTTACAGATGCTACTTTCATAATCACAAATAACAATTGAAACTAATTCCAAGACGAAACTACGACTCCCCCAATATCACCACGAGTTAACTATTCAGTCACCCAACACACCAACCTTCATCGACCTACTCACAAACCCTGCCTTGCCTACCTTGCATTTCCCCCAAAGTGACTTTGAATGACGGAGACCAGATTGTTGGTTGTATGCATTAAACATAACAGTTTACATGGTATGTCAGTCTAGGAACAAGCTGTGAAATCAATCCTTCCGACAGCACCATTACTACCCACAAGGAGGTGTAAGGTGTAAGGCCCGTCATACGTAGACCCACGTGTGACGGGCTGTATCCTGTGTCTATTTTGATGGTTATCACCAACGTTACTGTAAATGCATTGCTAACGTAACGGTTTTACAAAACGGTTGTAGTGAAACAGCAATTCGAAAAGCTGGACAATGTTAGATGTGTTAAATATATGCAATTGTTATAAAATTGATTAACAAACTAAAATTATTAAGGAGTTAGGTACAAATCTATGAGATATCATAGGTTGTTGCATAGATAGACAGATAGTTGTTCTAATCATTAAATCTATAGTTGTAGAAGAACACGTTTGACTGTTAAGTAAGTTGTTTTGGTATCATTCTTCCTTTCACGAAGTATTCAATGTATTGCACGAAGTAGCAATAGAATAGGACCGAGATAAATTGAAAATAGGAATACGATTTACGCATATTTTTCTCGTTTTAGATTTTATACATATTATACACTTTCATAATGAAATAGATGGTAGGCCTAAAGGTTTCAATTTTCAATCACTGAGTTAAAATACGTAAGTGACCTGCAAATCCGAACTCAGTTTGTCTCTAAATCCGTCCTATCCAAAAACAACAAAGTAAGTTGACTCGTCAACTGTCACATCGATTTCTAAACAAATAATAGTCTAACTGTGCAGTTGCGATTTGCGGTTAACATTTATGTGTATCAGAATCTGAGTTTCTCACCTCTAATTCTCGACCCGGGCTGTTTATACGTGTCATTATTTCCCAATATATAGGATTGAACGAACAAATTTCACCTAATCCAAATTTTAGCTAAACCGATCAAGTTTCAGATACAACTAGTAATTAAGTAAGTAACACATTTGTTTTTTTGACTTTTGAAAACTACGAATGAATTATGTTATGAGCACCAAACCCCCTAAAAGAAGAGACTATCGTAATGTTCTGTGACGCCAGGCAATGTCAACAACGTATAGGAATGAAGCTGTGCAACCTATCATTGCGCAGCGCAACAATTAACGCGTAGTGAGCAGCACATGCATTATCACGTCACGCGGGTGGCCGCCTTCCCGCCACAAGCTGCGAATTACGCGGGAACCAATCAGGTCTTCTCTTCCGCACGGAAATCCTATTTCCCGCGATAAACTTCCCTTGAAATCAATTTCAGGGCGGGTGATTTTTACCGAATTGTAATTATTTGCAATCAGTTGGTCGGAGGTGATTTCATGGAAATCATCGGAGGATTTTACGGTCAGTAATATTTATTTGGAGTACAAATTATATGTGGCCTAAATTGATTTTATACGGAGGTAAATTAGTTTTCGCAAAAATGGATTAAAAGTTTATTTAGGAGGATTCAAGTGTTAATTTCATCATAACTATTGAATTGCTTGATTGGTAACCATATAAGGTGTTAATCAACAGCTAGATGTAAAAATGTGATGTTAGGTGAAGTTTTTTTAAGGTATACGTCCGAACTTACCTCACCAATAGTCACACTTGCCATGCAAAAGTTTTTTAAAAACGCTGGACATCGAGCATCGCACAACAAAATAAGTGATTATGGTCGTTAATGTGAGACTAAAGCTACGGAATATTGACTTTACTGTAATAAACTAACTTAACTGTAGCAGGGAAATGCACACGTACTCCAATTATCAGTTATATCCAAGTAAGCTAAATTCTATATAGTTTGACTGTGTCGAAACAATTATAAACTAATTTAGAATTAAATTACACCTACGCAAGGGAAACCCCGTTACCGCACAGCGGTTGCAATACATTCGTGCGTAAAACATGCACGTTCCAGCGAATATTTGATTGAAAACGAGTCTATAAAATGTTCCGTAGACCGAGTTACGAGGGAATTGCGTGTTCAACTACTGTACTTGTAACGACTACCGACCTACATCGAGTAATCAGTCGGTACTAATCGAGATGAGTACAATCACTACAACTGAATGCATCGATAGTGTAGATAGTCTAGTGATGCGCAGTAGGGCTACGGGGAGTTTTAACATCAGTGGAAACGGAGATATCTTTACTATCTGGTATCATTACTACAACTACAGCTACTAATGTACCGGCATTGATTGCGTTAGGATATGTTAGGTAGAACAAACTTCATCTTGCAAAGCAGTATCTGTTAGATTATAGATGAGAATAATCTCTAAAACACGATGAGTCGATTGTTCTTTTTGATGATTCGTAACTGGACCTAGCTGTCTTTGATGATTGGGATTTTAATACATGATCGTCACTGATGAAACCGCTCGTCTATGATCATATCTCCATCTATTCTACACACACCTTGGATTCATGTCCAGCTTAAAACACGCATCCAAAGAGTGCGTCCCTGTCTGAAAGAGTTGTAAATTGACAATTGATAAAATAATGGTATAGCACACTTATCATGTAATCTTTTTGTTCAATATTTCATGAAACCGGGAAAAGTACAATGCCTTAAAATTAGAGCCAAGGGTGGAAATTCTTCATTAAAATACAAATAGAATATCTCATATTTCCAGTTGAATAAACGCCTAGGTTTACTAACGTTTACTCAAAGGCTGTTTATGTCTATTCCTAACCGTGATGTTTATCCTCCACCAAAAACGCCAACTTTACCTCCCCCTCTTCTCCTAGTCTGTTTGACTCACGGAAGCGGACATTCGAGCGAGTGATGAGGTGAAATTTGAACCCGGCAATTATCAATTCCGAAACTCTAGTGGCGAATTGATGAAGAGCGGAAAATGGCAGCGTGTATGAAGCCATTAGTTAATGATGGAACTTCATGAGGCTCCTGAGGCTGTAGCGTCTCCTCGTGAGGGCCTCGGTCCTCTCTCGCAAAGGATTGTATAGCTATAGTAGGTAGCGGTGAGTGGTGAATCTTAGTGACATGAAGTATAATTGGTTGTATTG